GACATTTTAGCATAATTTGTTTTAATGTTATATATTGTAACTTATTGTGAGGGGCCCCATAATTGGAGATTATCTCTGTGGCTAGTCCCTGCCCGAATTGTATGTAAATTTTGTAAAGTATTAGTTTTATTTATGTCTGTTATGTTTGGCGAATCTTGTAAATATATATATATATATATGTATATACACACAGACGGTACCGTTTCGGCCTTATGGCCCTCATCAGTGTAGTGCTGATGAGCAGGATGAAAGTAACTGCTATTTACAGTTACCTTTGATGCCTCACGAATGTGGGACATCAAAACCATGCCAGAGCGCTCAAACTGCAAGCAGTGAGCGTGCGCAATATATATATATATATACAGGGTGTATCAAAAAAAGCGCAATCCTCGACTAAAATGTAAATTGCTAAACAAATAATATACGAAAACGTTAAAGTTTACATTCATTTTAAAGCGTAGCCATTCAGCTTTCTAACAGTGGGCTGTTTCTTAAATTTGACTCATTGGTTCGCGGGTAATAATACTTTACGTTATTGCGATTGGAGATTAAAAAAATTGAGATGGAATGACAAATCGTTCTCATGAAAATAACTGATTTTTTCATTAAAACAAAAAAATGTTGCATTTTATTAAATGGATTGTAACAATAAGTATAATTACGGCTTTTCTTCCACTATTTTAACTCAGTTTGAAACTTCAAATGCGATATAATTTTGGCTTGGACCATCTAAGCTGACTGACATCAACTTGCTATAATTTCTGTTTACATTACATCGCAATTCGATGACACTCTGGCTCAGACACCAGAATGTTTTGACGATTTTAGCATTCGTTTAGGATTTTCAAACAACCTGGTCTCTTTTAAAATACTTTTAATTTGTTCTTACGTGGTTTTCCAGATGTAGTGACGATAACATTAAAGTTTAAAGAAGAAAATTCTAACATTTAAACCGACTAAACAATAACATAGTAAACTTGCATAATTAAACAGCAACTAAAAATGATAGGTTTTACTAAATCTTTTCCTGTGCAATTATTACTAGCATTAGAGACAAGGATAATAGTTTGTTTGAAAGAGGAAAGAACAGGCTTTGAAGTAAGCCTAAAAGCGTTTAACTAGAAATA